CGGGGCCGAAAGCAGCCCCCGAGCTGGGCTGCGGATGAGCCCGGGAAGCGGGATGAGCCTCGGGAAGGGGGATGAGCCCCGGGGAAGGGGGATGAGCTCCGGGAACAAGGATGAGCCCCGGGAATGAAGGAGACCTTGCCCGGGATGGACAGACGGACGCAGCACGCGTTTTCCTGCGGCGGCTCCAAGGGCTGCACGGAGCCAGCGCCGCGGACGCGCTCGGAGGCATCGGGATTTATTAACCTAAAAGCTCGGGAAAAGCGACCCCGGGGTCTCGGGAAGGAGGCCGCGTCCGCAGGCTCCGTTCGTCCTCCTTGAAGCCCAGGCACAAAGGCGCCCGCCCGTTTTGCCCGTACATCTCCGCTTTAATAAAAAGGGCGAGAGCTGCAAAAAGGAGGGGGGGAAACCCACAAAACCTGATACTACCATAAAAAAGAGGGGAAAAAAAAAAGGGAAAAAAAAATAGAAACTTGGAAGGCTCTGGCTTTGCTTTCCTCCTGATTAAATGCAGATCACAGGAGGTTTTTATGGGAGGCAGGGACGTTTCGCGGCGCAGCTGGTGCCCGGTATTAATCTTGCCGTCACGTCGCATTAATGGCAGCGTTTTGCCCGGCCCGCGCCGCGTACCTGCGATGATGACCGAGTCGGTGCGCGCGGGGCCGAATTTCAATGTCATCTCATGCTTGTGTTTATGAACCGCCAGGTGGTCCTCGTTTGTAAACCTCTGAAACGAAACAATTTGGGAAACGGTGAGGGGAAAAAACAGGCGTTTTTGGGAAACGGGGCAGCGAGGAGGTTGGTGTTTTATGGAGCGGCCTGAGGACGGATCTCGGGGAACCTGCGGGGAAAAAGGGGGACACTGTTAAGCAAAGGGGACGGTTATTTGGAATCATCCCTTGTGCAGGCGCTGCCGAAACGCGGAGCTGCTCCGGGGCTCACAGAGGGGGGAATTTTTCCGCTTTGGGGCTTTTCCGGACGGAGCCGGCACTGCGGTTGATGGAAACAGGAAACCCCGGGGCTTCGGGGAGCAAAAAAGGCCCCAAAACCGGGGCCGGGGCCATAAAATGCAAGGGGCTGGGGAGGGATGGAGTTAAAGCCTCATAAAGGAGGAGGGCGGGCGGCTGCGGCGCTGCAACAGACTGCGGCAAAGCGCGAGGCCGAAGGCACCGCGGGGCTTTTGTGCCGCCGAGACGCCCCTTCCCAGCCGCTTTTCCCCCTTTTGGGGGAAATTGCCCCCGTTTTGGGGGCCGAGGGCTCCCATTCCCCCCCGCGCCGGCCGAGCCCCCCGTTCCCATCGGTGCAAGGGGGGGACGAGCCAAATGATAAAACCCCGAATGATAAAAGTATATCATATCTCTATGGATATAAAGGCAAACCGCGCTGCAAAACGGAAAGGCAGGAGAAAAGAGACCCAAAAGAGGGGGACAAAGGAGTGACCCCCAAATCCAACTCCGCTTTTAGCAGGGAAAGCGGGGGCTGCTTTTGCTCCCGTGATAAAAGGCACCGAATTCATTGCGAATATCTGCTCTTTTTGTTGCATTGCGGGGTGGGTTTTCCCCTTTTTCCCCCCTTTTTCCCCCGTTTTCCCGGCGCTCCGATCTGTCTTGCGGCGCACGTTCCCCCCCGCCGCGGCCGCTAAATCATGTCCCCGCCGCCGGAGCGCGGAGCGGCGGGGGGGGG